TGGTCGTACAAGCCTCGAAGATGATCCACGCGAAGATTGTCCAAAAACTGCTACAACACCACAAAACATTCAACAAGTCCATGATATGGTGTTAGATGATCGGCGAGTGAAAATGCGTGAAATAGCTGAGGCCATAGGCATCTCAAAAGAACGAATTGGAAATATTTTGTATGAAGAATTACATATGAAAAAACTTTGTGCAAGATGGCTGCCGCATTTGCTAATAATTAACCAAAAACACATTCGAATGCGTATTTCTCAAGCGTGTTTGGATCGTTTTAAGCAAAATAAAATGGATTTCAAGCGTCGTTTCATAACTGTTGACGAAACTTGGATCCATCACTATATACCAGAGCGAAAAGAACAGTCGAAACAATGGTTTGAAGCCGGTGGACGTGCACCAAAGAAGGCAAAGACGGTTCCATCAGCAGGAAAGGTTATGGCAACAGTTTTTTGGGATTACAAAGATGTTTTGTTGGTCGATTATCTTCAGAAAGATAAAACGATTAACTCTGAATATTATTGTAACCTTTTGAATCTATTGAATACAAAAATTCGTGAGAAAAGACCTGCTTTAAAGAAGAAAAGAATCGTTTTCCATCAAGACAATGCACGTGTTCACACAAGTGTTTTGACAATGGCAAAATTCAACGAATTAAAGTACGAATTGCTTGAACATCCAGCATATTCACCAGATTTGGCTCCCTCTGACTATTATCTATTTCCAAACCTGAAAAAATTCCTGGCTGGAAAGCGTTTTACATCAAATGACGAAGATATTGCAGCCGTGGATGGACATTTTGCAGACCTTCCGGAATCACACTTTAATAATGGTATTAAATTATTGGAAAAACGTTGGAATAAATGTACTAAAGTTTCAGGAGATTATACTGAAAAATAAAACATATTTCACGGCAAAAAGAATTTTCTTTCATTGTAGGGCCGAGAACTTTTCAGACTGCCCACGTATATATGTACATAAGCTTTTAAAAGTAAAAATTATATCGTATTATAAAAATTTAACACGTTTCTAATAGTGCCCAATATTTAAAAAAATATCTTTAAAGGTCATTGTTATTTAAGAAAAACCTATCTACAAAAAATGTCTATGGCATAAATTTTTACAAGTAAAATTTATCATTATTTATTAGAACACTGAACCTAACCATGAAGGAGGAGGGCGTACTAGGTGGCGACGGGACGCCGTGCGTTCGGGACCTGCATCTTATTTTCATTCCGAAGAAAGAAAAACATCTAGAGCGCATTATATAGTTATTTTACTTGTTATTATAACAAATTAATTATTATAACAATGCAATAAAAAATATTTAATACAAAATATCTTGGCGCGGCTGCACCAAAAACTATATTCTTATCAATTTTATGTATCACGTATTTTACTAGTGTAGAAGTAGACTATTTTTTTCTTTGCCGTTAGAGTTTATCCTATTAAGTTAAATACACATTTTACCTTCAGTTTCCAAAAAGCGAAAACATAAAACGGGAGGATAATAAATTAGAGCAGAATATCAATAAATCAAAATAATTTTTAGTTACAAAATTTTGTAGTATTTTTAACATCAGGTTCTTTCCATATACAGGGTTTTTCAATTGGTGCGGGTCGATGTTGGCAGCCTGTAGCGGCCATGTTGTTTTGGCGGCGTCTGTCTAACCTGTTGTTTATTATTCAGTCACTGATGCCAAATCACCATGACAAGTTACACGATTGAGCAGCACGTCCAAATGATAAAACTTTATTATCAAAATGAGTGTTCGTTAGTGCAAACGTTGCGCGCGTTGCGCCCATTTTACGGCAGACGCGGTGGCCCTTCAAAGTCGACTCTCCAACATTTGGTGGCCAAATTCGAGACGACCGGTTCGGTAAACGATCAGCCAACACCCGTACGTCAAAGAAACGCCAGATCGGCCGAGAACATCGCCGCTGTAAAAGAAAGTGTGCAGGAGAACCCGAGGCAGTCAATTCCTCGCCGTGCACAAGAAGTCGGCCTTTCGCAGACTTCAACTTGGCGAATTTTGCGTCGGGACTTGGGCTTGCACCCGTACAAGATCCAACTGGCCCAGGAGCTCAAAATTAATGACCATAGACAACGCCGTTTGTCCGCTGACTGGGCTTCGGAGAATTTGGAAGAGGACCCCAATTTTGGCCAAAAAATTGTCTTTAGCGACAAGGCGCATTTTTGGATGAATGTCTATGTTAACAAGCATAATTGCCGTATATGGCACGACGCCAACCCACACGAGGTTCACCAGGTAGCAATGCATCCACAAAAAGTTACTGTTTGGTGCGGATTTTGGGCCGGCGGCATTATTGGTCCGTACTTTTTCGAAAACGACGTTGGTGAGGCCACACCGTCAATGGCGAGCGCTACAGAACGATGATAACCAATTTCTTTTGGCCCAAATTGAACGATATGGACGTGGACGACATGTGGTTCCAGCAGGACGGCGCTACGTGCCACACAGCAGACGCCACGATGGACATTCTGCATGAACGATTTGAGGGTATGGTTATCTCTCGCAGAGGTGACGTGAATTGGCCACCAAGATCGTGCGATTTGACCCCGCTAGACTTTTTCTTGTGGGGTTTTCTGAAGTCGCAGGTCTATGCCAATAAGCCGCAATCGATCGATGCCCTTAAAGTCAACATAACCCAGGCCATCGTTCAAATTCAGCCGGATCTATGCGACAGAATCATTGAAAATTGGACCACTCGGATCCGTGCCACCGTGAGAAGCCGCGGCGGACATTTGAACGATGTTATATTCCACACATAATGGCATACATGGGCCTTTCAAATAAAAAAAGAATTTCGTTAATACCTCACATACAGCTTGTTTCCATTGCAACATCGATCCGCCCTTATTGAAAAACCCTTTAGATTATGCTGTTGGGATATTTATAAGGTATTTCATTCCTTAACGCAGATAATTAAACCGCCATAAATCTATCTTCTCCCATTTGATTTTAACATACAGATGGATTTCTCATTGTGTGTTCTGTTATATTATCTTAACAAACCTCTTTGATCTTCATTCATTTTTATTTTATCTTCGATATCGGTGTCGTTATGTCAGTCATTATGGACTTTTATTATGGTCATGCGACAATTCATGGATTTGAAGGTCCCAGGCAATTAATTCTTGCAAATCGATTCAGTTGCAGATGTACAGTATGTGCACAGTTACACGCGAATGCACTTGATGTGTCGCGCTGCGCTACATAGTGCATAGAGCAACGCTAGTGTAGCGAAATCGTGGTAGTTTAACGTTACGTGTTCAATATTAATGTGTCGCGGCGCACGGGCGTCGCGTTGCGCCCGCAGATAATTTGTAAATACAAAAAGAGGCGGCCACAACCGCCAGCGGAAACGTTCCCGAGAGGTTGCCAGGAGGCGAATGCGTTTTGCGCAACGTTAAATTTTGTGACGACGACTCTACGTACCCCACGTTTTCTGTCCTGTGCCATTTCCCCCGAGTCTCTTGGCCCCCTGGCCCCGAAAAAATACGTTCTTCTGCTCGTTAGTTGCTTGGTAGAAGAAGAAAATATCAGAGAGAGAGAGAGAGGAAAATATCACGTCGCCGAACGGCACGATTTTTCGACCCGATGGATGTATTCGCGCTAGGTTGACTCGTTGCGCGTTGATTAATTAATACTCATTTCCTCCTTCTCTTCTCTTATTCCTTGCTACGGGTTACATCCTCCTCTTTGGGTTATATCCGTGACACTCCTGAAACACATCGCGGACGACCGCTGACAGGCAGCGGCGACGGTGCTGGAGTTCCCGGCGAATGGAAGGCACATTGGGCGCACCCAAAATTGATGGTTAATTCAAAACCACTACGGGAGCTGCGACTGAATTTGGCCGAGGTAAATAACGGGGCACGAGCGCGGCGCGACGGGAGTGTCAGGAGTGCGGCGACGGCCGCTGCCTGTGCAGCGGGACTAGGGGGGAACTAGGGGGCTAGGATGCACTGCGAAAGGAAGGGCGAACGCGGCGGCGGTGCACCAGGTTGATTCGCGGGTTGCAGTTGTAAACACGAATAATGGAGAGTACCGATCGGTAAATTGTATGCTTGGCTTCATCGAGGGTGGTTGCACGAGCGTGACCCCTATCGCTCCTCCCTCTCTCTCTCTCTCTCTCTCTCTCTCTCTCTCTCTCTCTCTCTCTCTCTTTCTCTCTCTCTTTCTCTCTTTCTCTCTTTCTCTCTCTTCGTCCCATCTGCGCCTCGCTTTGGCCCTTGATTCGTGTTATTCTCGTAAGCTTTTTTCCGGTATTTGACGTGTCACGATACGTGACCAGTGCGTTGCGGCATGATTACGCACGCGTACTGTACGTGAGTGTTTATCCGCCAACCGATACGTTATGCGCCTCGTCAAACATACAACCACCAACATCGAACCTATTGTCAATCTCGATCTTATGCAACAATCCACGTGGACAATTTCGTGGGATTTAATCATGGGATCTTGTCGGATTTTCAATTATTATAAAAATATGAATCTGATTTAAATTCCTCGCTTCTAGGGAAATTTTGAGGAATTCTACACAGGGATAATTCACAATTAACGCATTCGCTGCCAAACGTATTTTAAATGAATTTCCGTTCATACCAATTGTTCTCATAAAGTTTACCGTAATATGCATATGCCATTTTGAACATTTTGATAAATAAAAATCAGTGACCGTCATAACGGTGAATATGTTAATTCAAAATTGGCACGTTCCGAGCTCGAAATCGCTCAACTCTACTCGAATTTAAATGAACAAGTGAATTTTTATTTTTCGCGGTAATTTAGTGTTTCCTTACGAACTTTTTTTATTCGTATTTTTTTCCCGGTTATATGTTTACTTGTCAGTCAACAAAAAAAAGAAGATAGGAGAGAAGAGTGAATTGGAAATTTAATTATTTCTTTTTCTATCGTAGAAAGCAACCGATCAAATACTTACACCTCAATGCAATACTCTCTTTTGCTTTTAGCTATCATGAGAATGCCCAGAGGCTTTCGAAAGCTTTCCGTGATCGACCTGCTACTCCGTTGGAGACTTCGGTATGGTGGGTAGAATACATCGCCCGTGGCAACGGCGCCCCCTATCTGCGCAGCTACAGCGCCGATCTCACTTGGTACCAGTATCATCATATCGACGTTGTTCTCGTTTTGATTATCATCGTCGCGTTGCTTATTTACATTCTCTTCCGGTTGATCAAGCTGCTCTCATGGCTGTTTCGCATTATCAAAGAGGCGCTCAGAAGCGAGACCAAACAGATAAGCAAGCAGAAGAAAAAGAATTAATAGCAACTGCTCTTTCGATATGGGGACGCAACAGAAAAAAATAATAACGTAGAGTATTCATAGTAGTTTCGAGATAAAGATAAAACCGTACAAACAGCCAGCATTTTTTTTGTGTAAAACTACCAACGTTTGACTTAGGATCGAATTTAAATTATTTTAGATCAATTGTTATGGAGAATTCGTTGGTCGCAAAAATTCTCTAAGAGACAAAAAATCTCTTCCTATTAACTTATACGATATTACCCAAGTCACAGTCTGCTAATATTCGCAACAGTAAAAATGTAGCTAAAATAATGTCTTGCCAGCCTTAATTATAGCAGATTAATTACAGCTATTTGACAGCAAACGTTATTTTGCAATCTAACTTTTAACTACGATAGTATTATAACAGTTAATAAAAGAGTAAAACAGATTTTTAACTACGATACCGTTATAACAGTTATAAAAGAGTAAACATGCAATCACAATTATTTTAATTGTATCATATTAATAGCTGTAAAGTGTAAAGTGTGATAAACTGTTAAAAATTATAATTATTAGGAAAACTAAAATTATCCGCAGCTATTTTAACATTAATTGTTGTGAAATGTTATGATAGCAAAAACAAAATCCAAAATTCAACCACAGCTATTTTAACTGCATTAATAGTTGTAAAATATAATATAATAGTTGTAAATGTAATATATAATAACTATAAAAAAAAACTATAGCCATTATAATAACTATGAAAAACTAAAACTAACCTCATTTTGCTACTTTTGAACTTAAAAAGTGAATATCTGTTATCTGACTATAATTTGTATATCACAACGAAAACAAAGAGTAACATATGATTTTATATTAAATTTAACAATGTATTAGCAATGGCCAAATAAACTCATTCATTCATTTCTGCGATTCTAAAATTACTACTTAAAGATCTATATACATCTGTTAATCATATATTAAATAGAAAATTTGATGTAAGTTTAGGGTCGAAGTTTCCAGGTTGTTTGAGGTTTAATCTCAACTGAATAAAGGAACTTTTCTTTTTTTATTATCTGTTTAATTATCTATGTAATATATTCTTATATAATTCTAAAATTAAAATGTAACTTTTATATATACATATTGTAATGGTCTATGTTCAGGCCAGTCGGTTACTTGATTGCACTCAGAACGTATGAAAAGTCACTAGCCTGAGTGCGATATGAATAAGTGAGGGGGGCGGCTGGCAGTAAAAGAAGCCTAGAATGTCTTTATGGTGGTTGGTACCCATGTTTATTCTAAATATTTTGGACAACCTGCACAAATGGCTATTTACACAAAACTATTACACAATATATACATTACTTACGCAATAGCCATTAGCAGCTATGTTGATGTTTGCCAGCGGAACTTAGATGCTTCAATGGCGAAGACTAACCGATAACTCGTGTATTATGTCGCAAGCATCCTGTCTCGGCGAACACATCAAGATGCGGCAAACGTACCCCTTGGATCTAGAAAACGGATTACGAAGAATGGACCACTACTCCTTCTAAAATCTTAGAAACGAGTCATCAATACTAGGCTGCTGCCCTCCCTCTCCGGATACGATTGTTTCACAATTTGGCTTACCTATAAACAAGTGTTAGCTACTTATGGCAGCTGTGGAAAATTGCTGCTTCTAATTGCTTCTCCGATTGAAAGATGTTTTGCTAATGACGATGGATTTTCGGCCATTACAATATACATATATATGTACATGAGATGTTTCAGAAATAAGTAGCTAAACTTAAGAGCATATTCTACTCACTGATAAAAATAGGTCATATATATAAACATGGACCATAAATATTTTTTTCTAAGTTATAAACATTTGTTTTATTTATAATAGATTTTGGTAAGAATATAGAAAAAACTACCATCTTGACGCTACTTTCAATCTTAAATAAAAATTAATTAACTTAAATAAAAATTTGTTTCAATAACAAATAGACTCATCTACTAACTTGTAACGAGGCGCAGATGCCCCTCGTTACTACCGGCCCGACCGACCACCTGTCGGGCCGAAGAACGGTGCTTTGCGCCACCCTAAAATAGCGAAGACGACCGCGCCGCCGTTATCACGCGCCGCCGCTATCGCGCGCCGCGGCGATCACGCGCTGCCGCTAGCGCGCGCGGCCGCGATCACGCGCCGTCACCGTGCCTCGCGCCGATAGGCGCGCCGCTCGATCGCCGCCGTATCAATCGTAGCGCGAACAACTATAAAACGGCGGCGATCGAGCTCCTAGACACCAGACCGATCCGTACCGCCGTTCTAGCTAGACGCTCTATGCCGATAGCTAGAAGATCCGGACCGTTTCGCTCTGCCTTCCGCTTTCCGACTACCCGACCGGCGACTAAGAACACGGGATTGTGCTTCCGCAGTCTCGATCGAGCGTTCTCGATACTTGGCCGTCTCCCGTCTTCCTGGGCTCGTGTGTACGCGTGCTCAGTCGAGCGTACTCGACAGTCTCTCGCCTTTACCCGCCGCCTCGAGTCAGGGGTCCGTCCGTCGGCGAACTCCGCTGAGCGTACTCAGCCTTTAGGCGATCCGTCTAGCGACCAGGAACCCGGGACGGTGTGTTCGCCGTCTCCGCTGAGTATCCGCAGCACTTGGTCGCTTTCCTCCACGAACGTAGGGAAAAGGGAAGGTGCGTACGCCTTCTCTGTCGAGAGTCCTCGGCCCCGACGGACGAAATCATCTCGCGTCTCCCGCGACTCGCGTGCGTGCGTTCGACCGAGAATCGAAATCTCCGGTCCGGCGACCATTTTTACGCGAGCAATTCCGAAGCGAGTATTGGGCGATAATTGTCCGAGACGCCCAGCGTCGCGAAGCGAGACCGATCACCGCGCCGTTACCGTCGTTACGATCTACACGCGTCGCGTAATAGGCCTCGCCTTCCGCACGGCCTATCCGTCTGTACGAGCGCTCGCACCGCTCACCGCACCGCACCGTACCGTACCGACGCGCCTTACAAACCGAACCGCGGAGTTCGGCCGTTACAAACTTATTAACTTCTAATAAAAAGTAAATAAAAGCTAATTCATAATATGTAGATGCAAAATATATTGTCTATTGTAAATACAAAGTTTATAAGAAAGAAAGTGTTCCTGGACTTGTATTTATATGATCTTTTTTCATCCTTACAATGAGTAGAATATGTTTTTAACCCGTTGCGGTCCGCGCTGTATTCGCAATTTCGTCCCAGCCGGTCCGCACAGATTTCGCCAATCGCTCATCCGCTTGGTAGCGTTTACTTTGGAAAACATTTATGAGCTTACTAACTCAACGTACTTATGAATAGGTGGATGTATAAAATAAAAGTTTAAGATTTTGTAAACATTATTTTTTATTGTTCACAGCTTATAATTTACCATAGTATGATAGCGTTTAAAACATTCTCCGACATGCAATCCCGGTTTTCTGTCGCAGGTTTCGCATATGTAGTCTCTCTTTTGTCACCAGGAATATTTCGGTTTGAACATACTGTGCAATCTTTGTGTTTACGCTGCGAATGCAGTGTAATTATATGTAATGTTCCATCTAATCGCTGTCCATCGAAACGGTATGTCGAGTGTTGCTCGACATAGGACGTGTTGGAACGAAACGCTGTGTCGAGTGTCGCTCGACATAGGACCGCAACGGGTTAAAGTTTGGCCATCTATTTCTAAAACACCTTGTGTGTATATGCAGAGTGTTCTAAAACAATTGCGCCATAGAGTGCCATAGTTCGTGAGAGTGTAGAACAAATTAAAATAAACAAAAAAATCATATTTTGAGATGTTCGCAATAATTTCAAGTTATTAATTATAGAAATCGAATGAATGTGAGCACGTGCCGAGATGGTAAAGAAGGAGCACTTGAGCTCTCTAGCTATAGCGCGGCCCAATCGTTCTAGCAACTGTTGCTGGAGCACGGCGAAGAGAAGGACAACGCGCTGCTTCATATGTTCTTACCTCGTTGTTTTTACATCTCGCTGCACACCGTGTAATAAAGGAAATTAAGTAACTCGAAAATTCAGAAACATTGTGCGCAGGTATAGAATAATTGATCTGTAATATAAAATTATTCGTTCGTGCTAAATGGTTTGAAAGAAATAAAATTATCCCTTGAAAAAAATGTAAATTTATTTTAATTGCCGAACGGTGAAAGATATCCGAAAAACAATTTAAACAAAAGTTGCATTTCTTTTTTATATCTATAATACAAAGCTGCGTATTGATAAATATCGAAAAATTCATGTTTTTTGAGTCATCCCTACTACCTTTAAAATTGAGTTGTATTTTGTAAATTTATGCGAAAATATTTTTCCATTCCTCTTTTTATACGTCATAATCAATTTATGTGTTCTAATAAAAAAAATTATCTAATTTATGAATTCAGCTTTAGCAGTTTTAATTATTAAAATAGTTTCATAAAGCAATAATTAAATTACTATTAATATAATTTCAGACAGCTTTCAACTACTTAAGCAAGTCAGTAGTATGGGGGTAAGTATGGCCAGTCAAAACATTCCCCCTCCACTCGACCCTCTGGCGCCACTAGACCACGCTCACCGGCGCCGGAGGGTTGAGTGAAGGAGGAATGTTTTGAGTGGCCATACTTCTCCCAAGGCTGAAAATGGCCGAAATTTGAATCACCGGAATAAAAATTAGCGTAATCTGAATATTAAATTTTTTATTATTCATATTAGGCGTTGTTGTGATTCTAGCTCTTGGTCAGTTGGTTAATTTGCATATTACTTTTGGAAAAATCTCCTAGGCACTTCTGCGAGAGGCTCGAACCCGGGATCTCTGGCTTTTGAGTCAAACCGTCTCTTACCACTGCTCTACTGCTACTCTGTGGTAGAAACTGGTTTCACGGCGTACACGTAGAACGGAGAGAGAGGTGTGGTATGTATGTGGTTAAGTGCGAAGTCTCTGGGAAAATCCTGTTGGCCTGGCCGGATTCGAACCCAAGGTCCGCTGGCTTTCGAGTCAATCATCTTATGCACTACGCTACTGTTATACCCTGATGGAAACTAGCTATATTGTGTACATACGAAGAATATTGACGTCACGCGTGAAAAATTTGGTAAATTCTAGAATCTACGGGACTCGGGCCCCCACCATGAGAGCCCCTGGCTCTCGATTCTCGTGAACGTGTGTGAGCATGTTCGAGCAGGTAGGGATCATTTCGAAAACATAAACTACCCAATGATTGTTGGAAGACGATACCTCTGGTCTATGTCTACCCAAATATTTTTACCTGTGCGGGTCCCCTTGCTTTCGAACTCGAAAAGTTTACAACGGGATTTGTCGACCTCGAACTGGAAACCACAGGGAAGAGAGAAGAGGTGAAGAGAAAGAATGCACAATATTTTTCATAGAATTAATTTACATTTTATTCTTATACATTTTTCTTAATACAGGATTAAACCTGGTACATAGGAATATGATGATCTAGCGATTTCGCTTACATTGATAAAAGATTTTTTATACATTCGTACAATCAACTGATCGTTTCGTTCACAATCATTGGTAAACAAACTATTAAACTGCTCGAGTTTATAACCTCGACACATACAGTAAAGAAAAACACAGCAATAATGATCACAAGTCGTCGATAAGAGTCTCTGTAGCTGAAAAGTATTCCATTGGTAAGTGATGGAATTTCTTCTAAGATGCAGAAGAAATCGTGAGTCCCAGGGTGGCATCCCGTAGCTGTCGAAGTATGTGGCCGCTCCATTCCGATCGACGTAGAATGCGACCCAGGGCTGTCCCGGACGATCATGATTGGCCGCATTAGCGACTACTGCCGTCGACCTTGTCCACACCCTCGGTAGTCCGTCGGCTGGATAGACGCCTGTGTATCTAGCATTGAGATGTTGCAATGCATGTTGAATTTCAAGCGAATTCATTTTATATAATTTCGTTTACCTCTGGTAACGCGATTGTTATAGTCTTCGATGGCTCGACGGAATGTTGCAACACAGTATTTGTCTCGTTTTCCTCTTCTTCAACCGGCGACTGTTCGCTCCCTGATTTGTCAGAATAACTATTTTCTCTGTCTTCCTCGTCAATTTTGGAGGACAAACCCGGGTCATATATGATAGATGTTGCCGCGTTTCTTGATGTTGATTTGGCTTTGTTCGATGAACCAGTGTTTCAATTTGTATGTGTCGCGTAATGCACCATGTTAACATCTGTGTTTTCTAAATGTGTGGAATGAGCAGCCTTCTATTCGTTCGTTGGGTGAAAGATCACTGGACGTCGGCGAGATATTCTCCAGATTATACATGTTTCGCGCTAACAAATTTTGCAAGTAGCTCGTTTTTCCCTTGCCTTTTGTCATGAAGATACGAATATGACTCGTAATTTCACGCAAGCGCGGATAAAAATATTTTGGATAGTCTCCCCATCCTACCACTCGATTCCATAATAATTCAGCGAAAGCCAGTTCTTTATCCATCTTGATTTTTTGTTCAATTCCGCAAATGAATACTCTGGAGCTAAAATCCAATGTCCGACAAATGCCTCATTAATACTGACAATAGCCACCTCCTTGAGCACATAGGTATCGTTGCTATCGCGGAAGCACTGCACTTCGATGATCACATGTTCTCGCTGTATTCGCAATTCTGCTTTGCCGAAACTATACTCTTTACGGCTCGAAGTCGACTGAGTTCTTTTCTCAAAATTTTTACTCTGGAGGAGAATAATGTTGAAAATCTTTACACAGGAAGGGGAAAGACGCCGAAAAGAAAAATGGGAGATGTGTTTCTTTAACCGCTATAATCTACAATGACTTGATGAGAAGAATTTATTTCCAGTACATTTTCAAATTCAGCGTAAACTAAGCAATTGACCGTTATTGTGAAAGCTTTTTCGAATCGTACTTCCATTCGTAAACTACAGTGTTTCACAAGGTTCCATTGGCTCACGCAATTACCTGACAGATCAGGAGTGAGATCAAAAGCGAAAAGAGTATAACTAGCAGGATAATCTTCTCTGGATATAGAATTAGTTTCGTTCAAGAAGTGAATGTCCGTTCCTGAGAAAAGTGTGTGATACGCCTCGGCGTAGAGCATCCCGTTACCAGAGAATTTGAGTTGTAACGGTCTACTAGAGATTTGAACACCATCGACATACAACGAAAAGAAATTTATCACATAATGCTGGAAATTGAATGGATTTAAATGCCGGGCACAGTTAAATGTTTTGTTATCGACAAAGCCGACAATTATGCGCTTTGGTATTTGTCCAAGAATGACGTTGTTCAGTGTCTCTTCTACGACGCCACTATGGATCGTAAATGATTTAACCTCGACTCTCGTGAGGGAGTATTTAGCAGTAGTCCTGGTCAACATTTTCATATGAGCGAGTAATATGCCTGGGTTTATTCTAGCTCTTCTAATGAGTAGTGTAGCATCTAAAATGCGTATCCGTGACATAGTATTTTCCTCCATAAGACAGAAGGAATCTTTCAAACGAACAAGCCTCATGCGCACTTCGACACCGTTGATCAAGAATTTACCTTGATTGAAGACGTCGCAGTGAAGATGACCTATGAGATCCAGTGTTCGCCCTCCTTGTACAAAAGTGGTTCGCTTGTCGAGTCTGTGATTGCTTAGTGTCGCTCCAGGTAAAGCGTCCATGTTCCCTGCAGTATCGCTATATCACAGGCACGAAGCCAGGTGGGAGGTTTTTATTGGTGAAGCATAATTTAAAAACGCCTCTATGTAAGCGCGGTAAGCATAAGCATTGTTTGGAGAAGACACGAGCTTTTGATTGAAATATATGTCGATTTGATTGAACATCGAATGCAGTATATGGTTTACCGGGCCTACTTTTGCGGCGGCTGCTCCTGCTCCGGTTTCCGTTTCTACTCGTATGCGTAGCGACAGCATGGTGTGAACAAGATCTATGTATTCTTCTCCATGCCCGGGTACGACGAATTCGACGGGCGCGTCGTCCGTGCGAGAAGACATGGGTTTGTAGTGAATCCATTGTGAACTCTCAATACTGCTTTGTGTAGGTGGTAGGGTGAAGAGATCGAGTTCACTCTTTAAACATTCGCAGGAATGCGTATGAAGAAAGGATGTTCAACGTTCGATGTACGTTAGTCTCTAGGTTAGGAATATCTTCATTTACAGCCATACCAGCGTTTTCTTCTACCGCGTTTCCGTCAGCGTAATCGTCATCTTCGCGAGGGGTATTTTCCCCTTCTCCACCGTTTTCATCATCGTCGACCTCACCAACAACAGGCTTCTCTTCTTTTTTTCCGTAATCGGTGTTTTTCCCGCTCTCGAAAAAAGTACAAATATCGCTGAAGTACTTCTCCATATAATTTCCATTTTTCCCGTGCTCCTCCGAGGACCGGAGAGTTGAGAATTCTATGCATCTCGGCGTCGAGACACGACAGGACGAAACGGACCCGGAGTACGCACCGTATTTTCATTCTCTACTGATGCTCAGTTGCGGCATTATCTGTTAAAACAGAGGGGATCGCAGTCGAGGAAGACGACAACGACGACGCTGAAGTCGACGATGTATGAGCCTGCTGCTGCAATCTCTCGAGATTATCCGTAGAAATCAATACCATCCTCTTGGCTCTTTCCATGATACAAGCGTGAACAGTCTCAATTACCGATAATTTTGGATAATATAGCCCCGAGTATAGGGACGATCAGATAAGGTAGAAATCCGCCTCGCTGCACTATCGCTCTCCGTTTGCTTCTCCAATCACCGCGATCATTAGCGATATGATTTATAACGCAACGTTGATTTATAACGCGATAGGCGATTTTTTCTCTTCTGTCGAGCGGTACGTTACCTTTGAGCTTGTTGAAGGCGCACTCGCAAATACATCTGATGAAATCACGGTCAGCTTCTCGCAGAAAGGCAGCACGTTGTTTCTCCGTCAAGTAACACAAGAGAGATGTTCAGAAGAGAGATGTTTTTCTCACTGATGGACCGTTTTGCTGCGTTTGCGGTTCTATCGCCCTTCTTCGCATTCGCTCTGCTCCCCCCACTCACTACCATTACGACAATAAGACTGTCGCAGAATGATCGTATGCATGGATTTTATATGTAACTTCTGGTGGATCCACGCCGAACGTAAACATAATGCGTAGTATCAGTGGAGAAGATGCATGTACGAAACTGATACTCATCCGGGGTAGATTGTTTCAGATCGAGCAACAAATACCCATGTGGAAACGATGTAGCGTCATAGTAAGCTTCTTCCAAAAACTTTGAATCTTCTAGATATATATACCTGCCTGGCCAATCTGAGCACGATCGCGAGGGATTTTGAACACCACGATGTAATCCGCGTTGAGAGAAATATCTCGTTGTACGCGTCCTTGATGAAATAGATTTTGCGAAATGAGTATAACACTGAGGTTTTTGTGATGACTACCAGGTATGTAAATATGAAACCGGAATTTTTGTATAGAAAATATACGTTTATTGTATGAAAATGATAAAAAATATTTTTTTCGAAATATTGCCCATTGCTAGCTATACATTTTTCTCACCTGTCTGACAATTTGTGGATGCCACGCCGAAAAACCTGTTGCTCTTTTGAGGTAAACAAGTCATCGAGCCATTTTCGTACATTTTCGTAAGAAGTGAAGCGCTGCTCAGCAAGTGCGTGTCCCATCGATGCAAATAAATAGTAATCGGACGGAGCCAAGTCTAGTGAGTAAACCGCATGCGAAAGTATTTCCCAACTAAACGCCTCAATCGTTTCCTTTAGCAGTTTTGCTGTGTGTGATGGTGCATTATCATGAAACAAAATCACTTTGTGTTGCCTTTTTTGATATTCTGGTCGTTTTTCACACAAAGCTTGATTCAAATCGATCATTTGTTGTCGGTAGCGTTCAGTATGAACGGTTTCGCCAGGTTTTAGCAGCTCATAATAGCTCACACCCTTCTGATCCCACCAAACACAGAGCATTGTCTTCCGTCCATAGCGATTTGGCCTTGCAGTCAATGTCGATGGTTCGCCTGGAGTTACCCATGATATTTTACGCTTAGGATTCTCAAAATATATCCACTTTTTATCGCCAGTCACAATTCGATGGAGAAATGACTTTCTTTTGTATCTGGCGAGCAGCATTTCGCAAGTGGTTTTTCGATGTTCCTGCTGTCTTTCATTCAGTTCATGTGGAACCCATTTTCCCATCCTCTGGATCTTTCCCATGGCTTTCAAATGTATGGAGACGGCTTCTCGTGTCACATTTAATTGATCCGCGAGTTGTTGCATTTGAGCGTCATCCTCATTCAACAATGCTTGCAATTCGCTGTCTTCAAACTTTTTCGGTGGTCTTCCACGTTTTTCGTTTCTCACGTAAAAATCGCCACGTTTGAATTTTTTAAACCACTCGAAGCACTGTGATTTACCAAGAGCATGCTCACCGTATGCTTCGACAAGCATTCGATGCGATTCGATGCAGCAGTTTTCCTCAAATGGTAATAGAAAATCAATGCTGTCCTCAAATCGTAGCTTCCGGGCACAAAATTCGACATGTTCAACGCTATTACAAACTATGCTGTTGTATGAAACTTATATTGTTGTGAGTTGAAAATCTTTGTCAGATGTCAACAAATGGAAATGGCGCCAATGACGCGCACTGATAGAAAAATATAGTTGAATTAACTATAATCTCACTATATTTTATAGCTAATTTTGGCGTCAACCATATTTTTATAGTTCGTGGAAACCTGCAAAATATAGTAGAATAAACACAAATATATAGTCAATGATTGTCTTAAATAATTGTTTAGTTACTTTTACCACATATATAGTAATTTCTCATTCACAAATATAGTAAGATTTAATATTCATATAGTTACATCTGTCATCATTTAGCAAATATTCTGGTAATATTGACTATATGAAGGAGTTACTTTTACCTATCATTTTATATTTGCATCCATACAATAGTTTTAGTTTAACTTACTATAATTTTTAGTAAAAATATTGTATGGTTGGTTATACTATGTCTATATCGTAATTATTACCGATATCATGGTAATACTTACTATAAATATGATATTTCGGACTATAATTTAGTTACTATATCATTATAGTTCCAAATATCATATACTTTTCTCTGAGTGCGGTTTGACGGTAACTACATTGACAGCTAAGGCCATCTATGGGCAAATTCCGGTTTCATATTTACAGACCTGGTATGTGCAATATGAGCCAGTCAATGTTTATACGTGCAACTTATTCAATTACCTGGCATATTAGTTGAAACCGACGAAAAATTACGTCGATCAATTTTAACTTAATTATTATTATCAATTAATATTATTATCAATTAATTATTATTATCAGCAATTTTTTTGCAAAGCAATTCTCAAATCGGTCGTGAAACGAAGAATTATTTAATTCTTGGACATTAACTAAAACTCGTGTGAACAACACGCGAGTACGCGTACAGATGGTATGGAACTTACGGTTTGCAAGTTTCTTATTTTCTCCTATTTTATGAAGGACGGCGAAACTACTGTCGTCCTGCATCGTACAAAACATTTGTTCTTTCCTTTTGGTTGTAACCAAAGTTAAGTTCATTACTTTTATCGTATATATTATATATATATATATCGTACAGCGTATTATATAACGAACTGTAAAATCGTTTTTTACATCGAAATTAAATGTATACCGTGGCGTTTAACAATAGTTCATATAATTGATATAATAAATGTTATTAACAACATGCGTATCGTGTATATTTATTATAACTAAATCCTCTTATAAATTGTTATGATTACAAAATTATTCAAACGAGAGACATTCTTGAGTTCACTCTTTCTGAAAGCGAAGACAGTATTCGCAATCATTAATTTTATTTGTAATATATACACAATCATATGTCACATTATTTTTACATACTTTTATAATTTTATGTTTATTAATATTTAAACAAATTTAGAGAAAGAGAGAGACAGAGATAGATAGATAGAGAGAGAGAGAGAGAGAGAGAGAGAGAGAGAGAGAGAGAGAGAGAGAGAGAGAGAGAGAGAGAGAGAGAGAGAGAGAGAGAAGGAGAGTAAAAAAAGGAGCAGTAAAGAAGAAAAAGGAATGAAGAGAGAAGGAATATCAAGAAGGCGAGAATGAGAGAAACAAAAGGTTGGAAGAGAAAGTGAAAGGATAATGCGATGGAAAAAGGGGAGAAAAGCGAATGTAGAAAAAAAACGTAAAAAGGAAAAGAGATAGTGAGAAAAACAGCGAAAGAAAAACAGAGACAGGGATATCCTGAAAGACCATGAAGGGAAATAGTGAAGGAGCGAGGTAGACGGGAGGACAAGAGGGATGGAAATGCCGCGAGAGTACGGTGGAGAGACGTACGAGAGCGAGGCAGCTTTGCGGGCATTAAGGGGTATTTCCCAGGTGGCCATGTCTCCCACTGCGTCAGCCGGCTTCCGCTCCGGTTGCAGCATAGCGGCAACGCGGCAAGCAAGAACCACGACGGGGGCCGTCGAGTTTACGGCGGTAGCGTCGTTTGCAGCGATGCCGTCGCCGCTCCTCTCTCGTACCGCCTGGCTGTAGGCAACACCCGAGATGCCGATTCCACCAGCAACGCGCTTCTCGTTCGCAGATGCCTGGCAAAGAATCGGAAAGTCTACATATTCATGG